TGGTGTGTGCTTTGGAAACCGTCTCTGCAGGAAGACGTTGTAGCACAAGTTGCAGGAGTTGTACAGGTATACTCCTTGCGATTTCGCTAGGATGAGTCCCAGACCACGAACGTTCAAATATTTTGTCCTGATTTGCGTGTCAAAGGCGCAGCGACGGGGTTTACACCCATCAGCAGCAGAACGAGTAGGCATCGCTCTTGACCCTGGCTGGCGTTGTTGTCGATAGCTTCTGTTGGAGAATAGGAGGATTTTTGGCTCAAAAGAATCGTGGCGAAGCTCTCGCGCGAATCAAGCGTCTTTGCAATTTTCGACGGAAAGTGATAGTCTCTTAGAGTACGGTCTTGCACGAAACTTCTGGATCCAGTAGATATCAGCGGTCCTGTTCTCCCTAGTGTCTATACACACCGAATTTCGTAACAGGGGCAGAGATGCCGCTCTTTGTTTTTTGAACGATAGTGAGAGCGTCGTTCGGTGGTTAGACGGTTGACATGCATTTGCCAGCAGGCGATGCCATCCTATGCAAGAGGTGATGGTATCCGATCCCCAACAACTTGGTAGCCATGTGTGGAGGATGAGGATGAATACCTCGTGCGTGTGGCTCGTGCGTGATTACAGACTTGGCATCAACCGCGCTAACCGGCTGACCAATGAAAATACGTCAGGCTTATAAAGACCATGATCAGGGGGCTTGTGCGCTTGTGCGTGATCATACGTATGGCGGGTATGAGACAAAACAGGGTATAAAATAATCAGGGAAGGAAGGAGTTCAAAAATTCATGATTTGGGGAGAATACGGATGTGCACCACCGCCATCTCGTCAATATGCGCCACAATAACGTGCGCATTATGCTCCGCGGTCAATGTTCCCAGCATGTCTATAACATCCCCCGCCCAGAAGCTGTATTAGCAAGGTAGATGGAAAAACGTACAACGAGGTCTATTGTGAGCCGAAAACGTGCCAATACAAAACATGTCCAACATGTGTGTCTCAATATTGCGCTTCTTCGATAGAACATATCACGATACGTGCCGGATTGAATTCCTTTTAGCCAATCCCCCCCCCCCCAACGCTGCACCATTGCACCAACCCCCCAATAGTGATGACGTACCATTACAATGTATCGCTGGTTGTTGGCCGTGTTTGCATGTTTGCTTGTTCGTTAGTGGTCTCTCCACCGTGTGCCTGTTTCTGCCTCTTATTTCTTGTTATTTTCGGCCTGGTCCCTTTTTGTCCTCGCTCTTTTTCATTTTATTTTCATTTTTATTTTCTCTTCTTCTTACTGTTTCCATTTTTTTTATTTTTTCTCTTTTTTCTCTTTTTCTCTATTTTTTTCTCTCTTTTTCTGTGCCAGATGGCCTTGTCTCTGCTTGCGTTGTTAAGTACCAAGATTGAACCAAGGGGGTCAACCCATGATAGATAGTGACTCCTAGTCTCAGTTGATACCTCGCATAGCGCGCAGAGGGAGTGGAGGATTCCAGAATATCTGTCGTTGATTTCTATTGACTTGCGGACCCCACGGGGCCAGTTTATTTGAGTGCACCTTTTTAGGGTAAGTTAACCTGTGACCACGGGAATCGACCGCGTCGAGTGTTGGATCAGTACGGACATACGAGGGTACTGGGCAGAGAGAGATCGGAACGAGGTTTTTAATGTGAAGACAACAACAACAACAACAACAACAACAACAACAATTAAGAAACATTTGATCGCATTGCATCCGCGACAGCACCGCACTGAGTGGACGAAGAGAACGTTTACGTCGACTGGCGGTATGGCGGGTTAACTCCCCTTTCTTGGTGCGCACGCTGTTCCGCTCTCGAACTCCTCAGGCACCTACTAGGGAACAGCTTGACGACCCTTCCATCAGGCCTGTTCGATGGGCTACATGTTCTCAGAGTTCTATCTCTCAGCGAGAATGCCCTTGTAGCGCTTCCCGCTGGTATATTCAACGACCTCGGCGCCTTACAGGCCCTGTAAGTAGTAGGTCGGCCGTACGAAGACCTTGCGACTGCTTGTATGTGAACACGCAATGAGTTGTCGTCTGCAACGACCGGTGTTGGTGATATCTGTCCGGTGTTGAACTCTATGTAAGCTAAGATATAGCAGCGTGCCGGGACGTTCTTCATGCCTACTTCGCGGCAGCGAGGCAGTATGGAAATGCACGCCAGCACGTTCCACGGAGCAGTCACCTGATTGTGAAGTCATGTCTACAAATCGATTGTCCTATCGTGAAAATATTCGTGTTCTCCAGCCTTGTCAACTTGGCCATGCAGACAGTAGCACACGCAAACAGAGTAGACTAATACACAAGACACGATAGGTACTAGAAGCACAGGGGTGGTGCAGCGTTCGTTCCGGAACATTGCATGCAGCGAAATGAAACATGTCCGTAACGAAACGCACTCTCCCGCCGCGCTGCGCCGGTTTCTCTATACAACACTTTCAGGTACCTGCATCAGAACTCGCTTTCCATGCTACGGGTTGGGGTATTCGACGACTTGGAGTCGCTTACGCAGCTGTGAGTGCACGGCCGAATGTTTGTGGCTATTGTCACGCTCAAACCTTCACCGCTCCACCCTCATCCATGGTATCTGAAAAATGAGCCCGACGCGGTTACTCGTACAGGTAGTGCTGCTTGAGGTGGAGTACTACATGAAAAATGGTTGCAGGTGTTGCGTACTAATCTCGGGCCTCCAATAGGCGTTCAGTTCTAACGTACCGCGGCTACGTTTGCTTGAAGCACAAACAATCCGTTAAATGCGGCAAAGTAGTTTTTGTGCGTCCCACAGTTGTGGCGGCCACTGGTGTCAAGATCAATTGGAAGACAGTGTCTTTCCCAGTTGTTTGAAACCCTCCAACACCTTATTGTCTTTCTTTCGATCTGGGCGACAATGTTGATTTCATTGGCACCTTCCACCTTGTGACGATTACTGTTTTTAGACATCGTACGCACTCTAGCAGATCGAGGCATATTTCTGACCAGGCTATAGCCAACTCATCCGATACCGTCGACATGTCGTTCCGTGAAATCGTTCGCGCATTCATGGAGTTCGCTACCTGGTTTCTCACATGTTCTCGCTCTTTTGCTCTGTGCAGGAGGTTGGAAGATAACGACGACTTACAGTGCCTACCCTCGTTGACCGGGTGAGCAACCGCCGGTGGTGCGGCGTCCTTAAGATGATTTTCGCGCCACAAGCAACACGAGGATATATATATATATATATATATCGTTTTCGTGATCTGTGTGTTCCTCCAAGCACTGCTATAGCCGTGGAGCGCCTTCCGGGACATAGATGTTGCCCTAGCTTCTCCAGCTGAATATCCGCGGTGTACCTAGAAGGGTGATCCTTTCTACGCAATCTCTCCCCCCCGAGGATGCTTTGGAGTTCCCCGAGCGCAGTTGATATCGGCGATATTAATGAGTGAGATAAGAAGCTTCGTCCTGTGGAGTCGCCGCCGACAGGTGGTCGAACGATCGTTACACCCCTCTCTTCGCTGAAACCGAACGTTTTCTCGATGGTGCTTTCGCCCCGTTTCAGGTCACCTCTTCTCGCGGACGACAAGCTGTTCCTCCCAGATGGCTTTGAAGATGACGGCATATGCTGTGAGAAGTGTCAATGACATTCACTCTCTCTTCCTTTTCTCTTCTTCGTTGTCTTTCGTTATTTCATCCCTCTGTGGCCGGGGTAGATCGTCTGTATCCCGGGTATTTGCCATTTTTCCCTGAGTTGTTTTCGTTTTTTCTCTTTGTTTGGGTAGTAGAAAACAAATCGCGCCTTGGAGGATTTTTCTGGTGGCCACTTTCATTTTGTTTTGAACGTGCACCCCCCCTTTGGGGGCAGTTGGCTTGTGACCACGGAAGGCGTCCGCGTCAGTTGTACCGGTACGGACATTAGCAGGTGCTGAGCGGAGATCGAAACGGTTTTCAATGTGAAGACAACCACAACAACAACAACAACAACAACAACTAACAGCCAACTTTGGGTGGCACATGCATTGGTGTTCCGTAGCAACAGGCCGATTCGCCAGAGGCCCAACCCTACTGTGCAGCGAGTGGTTACAACAAACACTACGAATTGACGTTTATCGTTTGTTCCTCAGAGGATAATTGTGCTTACCGTAACGCATGGATAGCCGCTCCTGTGGCAGTCATTAAAAACATTCGGACAAGGTGGCCAGAGGCGGCGCTTGAACACGCAGTAGTGAAACCTCTAGGCCCGGCATACCACGCAGAACACCGGAAACTTTCAATATAGGGCCATGCCATGAACTGTTTGAAGCAATGACACCCCAAGAGCCACAGTTAGCAAGACAACATGAGGGAAGCTTGCGCTGGACCCATCGTGTTCCAATGATTTCTTCGCAAGTTGATTCGGCCGCCACATCTGCTGTAAGCCGCTTACCAATGCCCATCTACAGGAAGGATTGCCTCATGAACGAATCACGAGATGCCGTTCCGTACTCCCTACACCTCTGTGCTTGAGTCTGTCGTAACCGTCCTCCGACTTCGCCTTGACAAAACGCCTACAATAAACTGCTGTTGTTTCCATTCGTATTTGTAGACTGCCCTTCTTCTGGGGACGCATGCGAATCAGGGGAATCCTGCTCTCCTGGCACCGATGGCTTCACCTGTACAGCTGGTAAGTCGGTAACAATTTTGGAGAGAGCAATTACGAAGCCTCTGTGACGCGCAAATGGGCTAGGAGAACAGATGACGAGCTTTTGTCCGGGGCGGCCAAAATCGAAACAAGGTCCCACTTTCGCCCACTCACAGGCCTTGGTTGACGTGTCGGGAGCAAGACTTGTTCTGGGGCCACGCTCAAGCCGAGTAGTATCCATTGGTTTCATGAAATCTCAGCGACCAAATTCTCGAGCTAAGGACATCCTCGAGCTCACACGCATACAAACTCACTCAGGAACCCTGTCGCCCCCAATACCGCTCGGCTCTTGATATTCCCGGTGGCAACGCCAGTACCGAACTCGTGCTTGGACCCAGAGAATGACCTCTACGGATGCGAGGCTGGCAATACCCAAATGTGAGATGACGGGTCGAAGAATCATGCAGCCTGTGTAGAGTGTAAAGTATATCGAGTGATATCCACAGAAATTGCACGGGTAGGCCGTGTACTGCAAAACCATCTAAATCGATATTTGCGAATGCTTCAAGGTCAACGGCGACCAACATTAAATTGATAGATATTCACCCACACACATTCCTAGGCAGGAACATGGAGGCCCTTCAACACTCCCTGGCAGCATTGCCGTTTGAAGAGGCTGCCCACCAAAATACCAATGCGAACGCTTTTCCGTTCTTGAGACACTAGTGCATGTGAATGATGCGATATTGCTCTGGATCTTCACGCTTCCACAGCTATCTCGACAACTGCGAAATCGGGGACGAAGATTTGGAGGACCTCGCGAAATGTTTCGATAACGCTGGACGCTCATCGGTCACCGTCATGTAAGGCATTTAGATGAAGCACATTGCGATGCCGACGGTTTGGTGCCGAAGTCACGGACCACAATGTATGGGTAGGATATGATCCTCCACTACCCTGAACCATCTCAGCGGATTCGGTACTTCATGCTTTCCCGGGGGCTGCTCAGCAGCATGGTAAAAAACAACTGTGCAATGGGAATTCCTCGTATACCTTGCTCGCAAAAGACCGTCCGACCCTGCAAAGCCTGAAATTTAACAATGCACACCTGTGTAAAGCACTCGTTCATCGCTGTTAGAACGGTTCCAATCTGTCGGCTTGACCTGAAAAACATCGTTTTCGTAATCTCCGATGCGATCCAACGATATTCGCCTGCGTCTCGTTCCGAGGTGAGTATGGTATATGGCGTGTGGGCCTAGGGGTAAAAGACGAACACGATTCGGCGAAGATCGCGCTCACTCCCCGCACGACGGGAACTACCCCACCACGAAACTTTGTGGGACGTGTGTTTGGCGATCGTTGACGGTTCGCGTGTTGTTGTGGTGTCGCACCAGCAATGTAGGGTGTCTCTGGGTGACAAAGACTGTGTTGCCGTTGACTACTGTATTTTCTAAACTCGTACCGTCGGTACTCCCGGTTTCGCGTCTGCTCTGCGCGGTGCAAATCAGCGAGGTGCACAGCAACGAGCTCACGTCGCTCCCCGTGGGGCTTTTCGACGGTCTGGACACTCTTCAGCCTCCTGTGAGTTGTGTGACGCCTCGACTTTCTCTCTGCGCCACTCACCCCCCTGAGCTGCAGCACGCACCCTGTTAGTTCGAGAGTATCGGTGCGAGCACGGCATGGAGTGGACTAGGAGAACGAATACGTCAAATGCCCGTTCTTGTAACCCACGCTCATTTGCCACAACTCGAAAAGCTTTTGCTGATGTTGAATGTGTGTTTGGCGATCGCTCAAGGCTACGCACTGTTCCGGTGTCGCACCAGCCTTGTTCGGCCTCTCGGTGACCAAAACAAACATTGCCGTTGGTATCATCTTTTCTGAACGCGTACCCTCGTCATTCTCCGTTTGGCGTCTGCTCTGTGCGACACACATCAGCTCCCTTCATGCCAACCAGTTCACTTCGCTCCCCGCGGAGCTTTTCGATGGTCTGGATCAGCTGCAAATTCTGTGAGTTGTGTGATGCCTCCTCTTCCTCGGTGCGCAAACCATTCACATGAGTTACAGAACGCAACCTGTTTGTCTGAGAGTACTCTCGTAGGGTATGGTGGTCGCCCGCTCCTGGGAAGGCACTGCCACCGGGGTTAATCCACTTTCGGAAGGAAACGCGTCAAGTGTGTCCATTGACGTTCCGAGTCCGTCAGGTGAAATCGTCTGGAACTTGATGCACTACATAGTTGGTGTGTGCTTTACCAACCCTCTGCATGAAAAGGTTGTCGAACAAGTTGGAAGAGTTGTGGTTCATAATTCTTGCGGTTTCGCTTGGTTGAGTCCCAGCCCACGAACGTTGAAGTATGTTCTCGTGATATGTGTGTCAATGGTGCAGCGACGGGTTTGGCGCCCATGAGCAGTAGAACGAGTAGACAAAGAGAGGATTCTTGGCTCAAAAGGGTTGTGGAGAAGCCCTCGATCGAAGCAAGCGTCTTCGAAGTTTTCGACTGAATGTGACAGTGTGCAAGAGTACGAGCTTGCGCGAAACTCCTAGGCAGCCTCCTCGTTCCAGTGGGTGCCAACGGTCACTTTTTCTTTCGCGTCTAGGCACTATGAATTTGTTAAGAGTGAACGAAAGAGGCCACTCTTGCAGTAGGCTGATGGCATGACCGCCAATTTATTTCCTGTTGCCTTTCCGCTCTCGAACTCCTCAGGCACCTTCTAGGAAACAATTTGACGACCCTTCCATCAGGCCTGTTCGATGGACTACATGCTCTCAGTGTTCTATCGCTCAGCGAGAACGCCCTTGTGGCGCTTCCCGCTGGTATATTCGACGACCTGGGCTCCTTGCAGGCCCTGTAAGTGTAGTGTGTAGTTTGGTTGTAGGACGACATTGCGACTGCCTGTGTATGAATATGGAACGAGGTCTCGATTGCGACGGGAAATGGTGAAATTGTTCCTAGCTCGCACTCTTTGCTATGCCATAGCACGTATGCCGGGACATGCACCATGCCTAGTTTGCGGCAGTGAGGCAGTATTGAAATTCACGCCGAAACGTTTCACGAAGCGGTCACCTGATTGTGACTGCAGGTCCGAGAGCGACGAATCAAGAAATCTACCCGAACAGTCGTCATTCACCAGCCTTTTTCAACTTCGCCAAGCAGTCAACAGCACACGCAAACAGAAGAAAATACGAGACGTGATATGTATTAGAAGCTCGGGGGTGGTGCAACGTTGTGTAGTTCCGGAACATTGTATGCAGCGAAAATGAAACGTGTCCGAAACAACAAGCACAACAAGCACTCCCCTTCGCTGCGCCGGCTCCTCTATGTAACACCTTCAGGTACCTGCAACATAACTCGCTTTCCATGCTACGGGTTGGGCTATTCGACGACTTGGAGTCGCTTACGCAGTTGTGAGTGCACGGCCCAAATGGATGTCATCAAACGCCCTGTTGACAAGAGCCCGACGATGGCTTTTCCAGGTAGCGCTGGTTGTTGTGGAGTACATGCAACAAGGTTCTAGGTGTTGTGTAGTCATCAAAGGCCTCAAATAGGGTTCAGTTCTAACGAACCGCAAAGCTTGCTTGTAGCGCTAATCATTCTTTAAACCACGGCAAAGTTTGTTGTTTGTCTTACTGTGGTCGTGGCGGGACTGAGAATGATCTTGTGATCAAAAGCACATGTGGAAAACAGTGTAGTTCCCGTTGTTTTCATCTCTCCCAACAGCCTATAGTCTATTCTTTCGATCTGGGCGACAGCAGTGTTGATTTCATCGGCACTGGCAGTTTGTGCCTCGGGTGGAGCTTCAACGTTGGGGCGATACGTTTTAGACGACGTACACGCAATCTCGCAGATCGAGGCATAACTTCGACCATGTTGTAGACAACTTATCCACGACCGTCCAGATTCCGTGAAAGCGTTTGCGTATTCATGGAGTTCGCTACCCGGTCTCTGGCATGTACTTGCTCTTCTGCTCCATGCAGGAGATTAGAAGATAACGACGATTTACAGGTCATAGTGTGTTCCACCGTGCGGCAAGAACACTCATCTCGATAATATCCACCTGGTATTGGCAGAGTGCTCTGTACTTCGGAACGTCTGCACTCGAATGCAGCTGGGGCTAGCTGCTGTGTATGATGCAAACTATGTTCCACAGTGCCAGTCCGAGGGGCACCGCAAAGCCAGACGAACGAGACAGAGTGCTCCTGGAGCAACACTAGCGAGTGGAACCACCAATGTTGGCAATACGTTATGCAAGCAGGATTTGCCAGCAGAATTTGCAGAGCCTACAGATAGTAAGAACAAGCCGATGCTTCTGAACCTTGTCGACACGGAGAGCCACAGGAACTCAAGGTTGCTCTTTCTCCGCCGCTGTTGCCAAATCGTTCCTTCTAAACACTGCGCTGTCCACGGCAGCAATCTGAGCGAAAACGAAGACCTTCAATGCGTCCCGTCAATGGGTAAGCTATGCTGACTCTGTGTTCACCGTGATTGACCCTAAATTAATAGTTTTCCCAGGCGGTAGGCGCCAGTGGAATCTACGTGTAACTACTCTGTGTGAAGTAGAATGCGGCACTTGTTCCTCTGTGACCGTATTCTTTGAAGATATCGTATTCGTTGCGATACGCACACGACCCTCACACAAGTGTCACCAACCTGGAACAATCCTGAACGCTCGGTGAAGGAGAGGAAGAGTGGTCATACCTGCAAAAGCAAGCTGGCCTACCACGCATCTTTCACGGTCTGTTGACGTGAGGTTGTTTCAAAATCATGTCGAGGCTATAATATGTACGCTAGTATCATGGTGCCCAGCTTCGTTGGTACCCGAGAATGCAATGGAAAGGCACGAGAGCAACTCGCCGAGCTACTCTCTCGCTGTTCCAGGCCCTCCAATTATTTGGGGTCTGCATGGTCCCTCCCGGAAGGATTTGGCGATGGCGACACGTGTGGTGAGTGCCAAACTTCTTCCCTTATTCGAAGGCGAATCTGGGGTGTAGTGCTACAGAAGGCAATGCCGCACGACGAAACGATCAGTGAAGATTGACCAAGCACTGCGTGCCTCTACGACCGCTCGAACATATCTACTCTCCGTTGTTGCAGCATGTGATATGTGATTATTGGAAACCGAGAAAATCATTTCGCGTGGAGGCTGGTTTCTCGCAACGTCGCGTTGGCGCCAAATCTCAGACCCGGGTACGGCCTGAAGGGGCAACCACTACTACCTTGCAGGCGCCGATTGAAAGAAGAATCCCACCCAACCTTGCGTTTGCACAGCTTGTCCGACTGAAGGGAGCGACGGGGCGTGTGCTACGGGGGAATCGTGCGTTCCCGGAGAGGATGGTTACAACTGCGCTGGTGTGTGGGGCATGACGAGCAGCGTTGTCTAGCGAGAAGTAGATGCATGCACGTGTTTATATTAGACTGAGTGACTCACATGCACTCGCTGAACGGTTTGCTGTTTGTGTTGCCCGTTGCTTCTGAACGCACTCAGTGCCCAAATGGGAGAGCCGAAACCCAAACCATGTATTCAGCGTGGCTGTTGCAGCGGGAAACGTACAAACCTCAAATCATCGGCAACACCAACAGTCACAGTCGTCTCATCATGCCTCTCACAATTCGTCGTCATACTTACCAGCCCCGACTGCAACACCAACGCCGGCTTCAACGCGGTCCCTGGCACCAGACTACTCTGGTAGAGACGCAACACCGGCCCCTGTCAGGGCCGACGCTGTTCTCGCTAGCACCACGGCCCCGGTGGCAGAGAAGACCACCAGCGGTGGTGTTACGAGTGATGCCAACAAGGCCGTAACGCACAGCCCATCGTGGACCTCCGACAGTAGTGCGGTCGGTGCTGCTATTGGTGGGCTTGTCATGGTCGCCACCATGGTCTTGGTATAGAACGCAGTCAGTCGTTGTGGTTTATCTCTCTGGGTTGCCGACAATACCGAAACCTGCGCCGCATAGGGCAAGCACCAAGCTTGCACGCACCTATATAACCAACAGACATGATACATGCCTGCCGCATCCGGGCCAGGTTCGGTGTAGTCTAGTAGGGCAAATTCTGCAATTGCAGCGCGCCGAAGCGTCAGATTCGCTCAAAGTTGAAGAACCAGCTGTGTTGGGAGTTGAGTCAGATGGTTTGCGGTTTACGGAGCCTGAGGTTCTCTTTCCCGAAGACCACTACTACTGTAGATCGCCCGCCCTTTACAGGGAAGCCGTGGTATGCGAGACAGTCGTCAAACAAGAAATATGCATACACGCAAGGCATGAGAAACTACAGTAGGTATGTCCACGGGAGTGGATTCCGTGGATTTCGTGATGTAAATACGTGTGGATATTCGCCGCGGAGAAGTATGATCGGGGGAGAGAAGGACCCCGAAAGAGACAGCGGGAGAGAGGGAGGACAAATTGCCGTGAAACGTGGGTGATTGTATGTGTGTGGACATTAATATTGATGTGCGTGTGTGAAACGGTGATACCGCGTGTTTCGGACCTTGACCAGTGCGTGGCAAAGCTTCAGAAGCATCTACCCGCGTGAACGGAACTGTCTCTATGTTCGTGGATTGAAGGACAATGGCGGCTCAACGTATACGTGGAGTTCGACTTCTCTCTATTGAGAGAAACACAACTAAAATTGCAACTTGCAGTGGGACGCGATCCCTTCCACAGACGCCACGAGTACATTGACACTTCGGCGTCACGGGCTACGGAGGGAAGGGACGGCTGAACCCCTCCCCCGGGAAAAGTCTAAAAGGCACAGTGCCGCAGGTGGTACAGTAGGTGGGCACTAAAATACCCGAAGAAACAAAGAAATACTCCTCCCCATGTTGCCTTCCTCCTGTGTAACCCCGTCTGACGCATCAAATTATTCACCGAAAGGTGCGTGGACTTGCTCCAGAATAGTTGGACGAACACACACGCACCAAACGTTTCGGCATCCAACCGGCACCCGCAGACAGCGATCCGTCCACTCCCTCTGATCCTCTGATGGTCTTCTGCTATTCACTGTGCGGCGTCAACCGCAGGGGTATATTGAACCTGGTCTAAAGTGTTAGACCATTTAATATTTTGTTATTGGGGGGTGTTGAAGGTCAGTTTCATTATTCTTTGGGTTTTGAGGTGTGGAGCGTCTCGCAGCGCTGGTGACTCGTTGCCCCGACTGTCTTCGACGAAAAAAACACGAGGGCAGTATCGGACGCAAGCCACGTCTCTCCAGGGACAAGTTCCACGCACATTCCACCACAGCAGTGGAACTCTTGCTACTACTGTATGCAGTGGTAATCTTGTGTTTCAACATATGACAATAGTAAGGCCCGGCTGTTATATTGTGTGGGTCACGTTTTTATTTGTATTGCCCCGCCCGCTGCTCAACGAATTGTGTCACAAGAATCGCAGGCCAGAGAGAGGGAGAGAGAGAGAGAGAGAGAGAGAGAGAGAGAGAGAGAGAGAGAGAGAGAGAGAGACCGACAGACAGACAGACAGACGGAGAAAGTCAGACTGAGACCGATAGACAGACACATACCGACATCAGAGCAGCAGCAGGGTGCAAAACCAGACAGTTTCGTCCTGAAAAAAAATGTGTGTGGAAACGCGTTTGCGTTTTGCTGTAAGTGTGAAGAGAGCAGTTTTGTTTGCGACAAGCGGGCCGGTGTAGTACATATTTGGAAGAATAAATACATATAGGCATAGACTACAAATACAGAAAGACTACTTCTACGAAATGACCAGTGCCAATACTACGGAACTCCGTATTCGATAGAGGTGGGACTTCTGGCGTACATGAACGAAGAACTCGAACATATCGCGTGTCGTCAACTTTGTGGTAAAATGTACTGTAACTTGGTGTCGGAACGGCATCATGGGAGTTGCAATGGGCGTTCAACAATCACGCCCATGTCCTTGTTTTGGTGGGTTTCCAAGCCACCGGTGTGCCTCGGATCATATCGGTCGTCTGCCGTTGTTCACGGGTCCTTGCTTCGGTTCGAAATCCATGCATTACTGACTGAAAAAGAAAACGACGGGGGAAACGACAACGACCAAGACCGGCGGTGTGTTGAGCGACACTTGTTCGTAACTTGGTCCTTTCAGTAGGTCTGTACTGGAAAGTTGTTCTTTGCGTCTATTTCTTCCTTACTCTCACTGGCAGTTTGCTTCCACGTTCGTCTGCACATCGGTTGCTATGTGCCATGTGGGTGAAGGACTGCTTTCGGGTCTCTCTTTTGCATTTTCGCCGAGAGTTGCGCTTCGATCCCTTAGCGCTTCCGCCTTACACTTGAAGTTTCAAGGACATTGTTCTATTCGTTCATGGAGTTTCATGATTTCTTTTTCATAGAAGTCGACCATCACGTAACAATATTGGTTTGTAGGAATGTCGTCGTCGACCGTTGCATCACTAGAAAATAGCATAGGTACGGGTGTTTTTGTTGCACGACGCACGGGCACGACTGTTTCCTGTTGATGTTCGCGTTGCTTTTCCAAAACGGCGGGGTATCCGGCTACCACGTTGCTTTGAAGAGTACGACCAGAAATAATAATACGCTTTCACAATGGGTGGCGATCGCGCGTGTTACGTATATTGCCCGCACGTTGCTGCGTGCTGCACTATGAAGAGGTGACGATTGTTTTCCACGATCCTATGGGTGCCTGAAAATAGTCACCCGGCACACCTAAATACCCCGAGGGAAGGCGCACTTGCGAGCGACGTCTGCGGATAGCCCTGAACCGTAGGAGAATCGTGTCGGAGAATCGCCTGGAGATGTGTCAGTCTGTCCTGGCACGAACCCGTGCCGCCGTCAGATCTGGAGACTATTTTTTTTAGGAAGTAATGTGTATCGGGCGAGTGAAACGTGCGGTCACCCCGAGGGGTGGAAGAGAACGTGGACCAGGATAAAGACCGAGTATCACGATTTAGATGCCATGCAATGTGGAAGGGGGCAGAGAACCGTTTCATGGAAACGTTCAATTAAAAAAAATGTGCATCATGCTTCGCCATCGAGCAGCCTGCATGCGCGGGTCATCCAACGCCATTGAACAGCTTGCTTGTGCGGATCGTCCAAGTCGAAGAAACACACAATCACTTCCACCTCCAAATCCAATCACGGGACGAGCTCGAACCAAAACAACAAACACAACTGCCCTGCTCCCTAGAAGTCACAAGTCCGAGGCGAAATATTATACTGAAGACTCCTTCTCCCTTTATACACGGTGGAACGTTATAGGAGCAGAGGACATAGAGAACTCACACAACCCCTACCTCGCGATATACGGTGGAAACAACAAAGAACAATACAACAGCAAACAACGCGATCGGGACGAGACAGAAGTTAAGGTTCTCTACCGCACATGGGGGAAATCGTAGTGGCACTGGAACCGTTGTTGTTGATGATGCCATTTGCCGTTGGTACCTACTAACTCGGCAATCCCTGCCAAATCCCGTGCTAATTTGCTAGACGGATGGACCAACAGAAACGATACAGAAAAAGCACGTGGCAGATACATCAAAACGGGCCCACGCACAGAGAAGCAACGGCGTTCTGTCTCGGAGCGGGGGTTGGGTCACTGGTCAAGAAACAGAACCAAAGGCAAGCAACGAAATGGTCCCCTTGACAACCACCAAAAATATATATGACGAAACGAAGGAGATCTAAAGACACAACGCACCGGGATCTTCAACAAGAGACGCCTCGTCTTGACTAATCCGCGTGCAAGTCGCGGGGCTCGAGAGCAAAATAACAAAAATGGGCTCTTCAACTATGCGCGAACGCATACATGCTGTGAACACTAACAAAACAAATACACGAAAAAGAAGCGCAACTTAAAATGCGTCTCCGCTTGTGCGCCACAATTTTGTCGTACACCACAGTATGGCCAACAAACGGAAAAAAAGGACCCCCACCTGGTCGGCGAAACCCCCACTCCTGGTTTGGTACGGACACGAGGCATTATCACCCGACCAAGACGGCCGTCACAACAACGTCTGCCAACCCCCAGGATTTCTCAATAGCCGGTGTGCTGCCACAGCCTGGCTTCCTTGCAAGACGCAAGCACAAAAGACCCACGTGATCATCGGCAGCACCCCCAATAGATGTGGCAAACACCAAAAATTGAGGGCAAAGCAGGCGAGCCGAACGCACGCAGTACGTACCCCCCTTTTTTCCTTCCTTCGCTCTCACTACCGCGCGACCTCGTCTTCGAACGCATCTTTCCGGAGTTAGGCGCCGTCAGAATGCATCACCCTCATACGCGTTCCGCTCGACGCCGCCCAGCTGGGAAGGGCGTTCGCTGCGTGGTGGATCGGTTCTGGCCCTCATTGCCCCCCGGCGCCTCTACATTCACACTTGTCATCACCATCACCGCCGCCTCCGCCAGCCACCACTCTCCTCGGTCGCAGCTACTTCGCTGCCCTTTCACCCTCATCGCTGGAGCCAGCACATCACCTACTACTTTCTTGGGCAGGTAAGCCCTCGGGGCCCTATCTCGCGACACGATTATCGCTGTTCGTTTTCCTCATCGGCTCGCGTGCCGCGGGTTGTTGCTGCTGTTGTTCCCCCTGCTCTTTGGCGTCGCCGGCTCCTTCTTGACCTCCACCTGAAGCGTTTTTCGTCCTACGGTGTGCTCCGCGGTTCTGGCCAAAACCAAAAGACAGCATCATGCAACAATAAGGCACCAACCGGGGGAAAATCCGCAGACGCTTGACTCCGTTCGCATTGTGTTGGCTTGTGGGTCTGTCTGGCCAAAGAAGACGTTGGGTCGATGCTGACAAGCAAGATACAAACACATAGGCATCACACACACAACCATAAAATGCGGCCGTTCGATGCGGGCGAAGCGACATCTACACCACGGCTGCCAACGTCAGCCAAAGCCTCCACGATGATGTGAAACGCTCGCGTTCCCCTGGGCGAATGCCATCCAGTGCATGTGAAGTCCATTCTTCGATTCGAGCTTGCGCTTTTATATCTTGGCCGGCAAAACGTTTGCGTATGCAAAGTCAATATGGAAAAAAAAGACACGGCTGTTTCTAAGAAAACTCCGAGGTGATCAGGGCCGAACCACGACTGCTACACGGGGAGTAAGAAGGCTAACACCCCCCGAGAAGTCGCGGAGAAGGCGTTATCATGTTTTCGAGAATATACCCGGTCCTCTCCCAAAGGAGCAAAGCTTGCGAGCAACAAACTTTGGCTTTCGAGTCTGAAGGCAGTGCTTTCGCCTCCGTTGTGTCAGCAGGAACAACAAAACCAGGTCGCGTTAATCAAACCCATATCGAATGTGTTCTTGTTGCTGGGGCTGAAACTAATCGATAATATTTACAAGGTTCCTGGCGCGTTCGCCCCACCGCCCAAATCGAGCGATTCCAAGGCAAAGGTCATTACAGAGTGCAGAGGCCAGGCAGCAGCTGGAAAAGGCACTGCTGTGTTGCGTTGTGTCGAACGTAGAATACACATAATAGATGGAAGGTCAGGAGAAGGCGGGGAGTTGCATGTAGAGTATCGACATGGGAAGAAGAGAACCCTTTCAAGTTGTACTGGAGCTTGGCGCGCCGCCGCCGTGATGAGCACATTACCGCATTATACCTCATGTAGGCCGGAACGAGGACGGACACAACAATGCCTTGTTTGTCTGACACTACTGAACGCTTGAGTGCCATCAACGACAAAACACAGATAAATTACACCCTGTCAGTCAATCGTCCGCAAATGATAATGGTAGATTTTCGAGTCATTGGCGCTTCGCGCCGCCGCCGAACGAAGAGAATCGACCGCAATGGGGGACCCTCATGGACCAGACCAGGACACCGGCACCATTCAGAGGGGCCAGCGACATTGCGAATGACACCAAAACCGGCACTGAGAGGGCTACCACGACCTTCAATAGTGCCGGTTTGGCACCACTGAGGAATACAGGAGAACATGTTTTGGGTTCATAAGGTGCCACGCTGACAAAATCGTGTTGTAGTGAGGATAAGTGTAGAGCGATACTGGTAAACATTTAATACTGAACACAGAAAAAGCACGGTGCCACAAATTTCGAGTGCCAAGTCATTGATCGCAGCAGACATTGGCAACACGCAACGACATGTTTTTTGCGTGCCGCGAAGCATTTTCTTGCTGAGCCCCCCCCGGTTACTTCACCAGTGCTACGCATGCTGTTCGCGGCTGCACATGGTACTCAACTAGGTCATTGCACAACAGCAGTGCAAGTACTCGCACCACGCTTCCATCGCCCAAAAGGACGAACTCATTGAGCGTGAGCGGGCGACCAACGGGCGCATTTACCAA